CCCACAGGAAGGTGCTCTAGACTTGGGGCAGCTTGCAGGCCTCGCTTTGGGCCAGTCTCTTCTGGGTGGGCTTTTACCCATGGGGGTGGGTCACTTTGGGTGTTTGACTTAGAAACTATGTTCTTTGTCTTTTCTGCATTGCACACTCGTATTCAAGTTCCTTTCCATTAAAGGTCTTATATGCTTTGCCTTGACACAGCAGATGGCAGAACCTTTTTAGAGCAGGTAGGTTGGGGTTCAGCTGTGTCCCTCTCTCCCTGCCCTGTAATAATATCATGAACAGGCCTGCAGGTCAAGTGTGGGCCGCAGGCAGGAGTCTTCTCCCATCCCGCTTAGTCTATGTGACCGCTGTTGTGTAAGACGAAGGACCCCAGATGTTGGGGGATGTGGCATATGCATCTTCGTCCTACTAAGATGAACAGGGTGGTCAATACACATGGAGAAACTCAGGAAATTGGCCATCTCCCTGTGGCGGGGTGTCACCATTCACCGGCCTAAGATGGCGTCCACACAAGGTGGGGTCAGTTAGCTTCTTACACTAGGTGACGTTCTCCAAGGTAGGTGAAAAAGAAAACTCACTTGGGCTTGGGAGAAAATAAAGGCACCGAACGAAAGGGTGGTTGCGGGGGTCACAGAATTTTATTTGTAACAGAGGATAGTACAAAGCTTAATACAACAAAGATTTAAGTGTCAGTAACAGACAGGTATCTTGCAAATGTTACATGTTGAAAGTCTTTAACTTTATAACCATAGGCCAGAGAAAGGGATGCAATTTATTTGACATATTTCACATTTTTTTCCTATGAATCATTAAAAATTTAAGCACCATAAAATTCAAGCATCTCACATGGGTGTTGCATCCAGCCTTGCCGGGTGCTGCATTATGCAGGATCTCTGGCAGATAATAACAGTGACGACTGCAGAGTACTGGTTTTTAATGTCAATTGTTTCGTGCCTTGCAGAACTTCCTGATAATGTCCCTGCAGGAAATTGTGATTTGAGACGTATTTTTTTGAGACGTAGTAACTTTGAGAATTGAAATAAAATAGCATTCCCAAAGACACCACGAATTGGCCAGGTATAAATATTTCTAATCAGCAATTTATATGCCCTGTGAGAATCACAGTATAATTCTACTCAAAAAAAAAAGTATTTTTCCAGACTAAGTGTGTTATTTTAAATAGATGGTGTAACCATTGTGCTGGGCATATAACCTAACTTTCAGTGCCAGGGAAGGTGTCCCGTCCCGTTGTATAAGTGAGGGTCACGGATCCAGGGAGTTGGTGTGTGTGCTTCACCCAGGATCCCCTGAGGAAAGTGACAGACTGGGGCTATTCCACATTTTTGCAGTCTTCTTGCAGCTATCTCGAATAAAACATTCATTGATCCACTCAGTCTGTGCCGGATTAAAAGACAAACGCAGTGGAATCTCCTAGAACACGCGGGATGACAGGCTGTGTTTTAACCCAGAGGTGGCGCAAAGCAAAGTCTTTGGTCAACTGCAGTTTTAGGGGCTTCCAGCTGCTTTTCTAAGCACCTGTGAAGCCAGACAAAGACGCCTTTGTAGGGGCGACGGCGCGGAGTCCTCCTCAGACGCTTCTCTCAAACCTTACTGTTTCTGAGATTTCGGTGTACAGGAAAGGGGCGTTTCAGGAGGGGTTGGTGATTAAGGCCTGTCGCTTGGCTTTCTGTCAGGAAAAGATGGTGGGGGCTGCAGATACGTTGACAGGCTGCAGTACTGAGGCATACGTGGGTGTCGCCTGTGCAGCCATACATGTGGGCACAGCCCGCGGGGCCTGCTGGTGCATGCGGACTTGTCACTCGTCACCGAAAAAAGCGGGCTGGCAGCATGTCAGTCCGAGCTCTGCTCACTGCGCTGAGGAAGCTCAGCCCTGCCCGCGAGGGGCTTAGATCTCAGCAGGAGAGGGAGAGAAGCGAGGGCACGCTGCAGGGGTGATGGGGGGACGGATGGGGTGGGCAGGTCCAGTCGTGGGTGGCCCCGGGAGCCCCATCTCCCTGGGGAAATGGGGCCTACAGGCTGGGGGGGGGAGGGGCGAGGGCAGCTGTGGGATCTGAAGCCAAAGAAAAACAAAATCGACTTTGCCGGAGTCGTCCTCAGACGCTTCTCTCAAACACTTCTCTCTGTCATTGAGAGAAATGACAGCTGAGATTTGAAACGGGGGCGTCCATCAGCTGGGAGACGTCTGCGGATGCAGGTGGAAGGTAAACGTGTGTGGAGACCGACCGGCGCAGGCCAGGGGGCAGTCAACCACCGCAGAGGGCAGAGGACCGGCAGGGCTGGGAAATGGCCTTCGGGCCCAGGACCAGGTGGGGCCCCAGGAACCCCCCCACCCGCCTGCCTATCACCCAGCGCAACCCCCAGGGGCACTGCAGCCACACCCAACCAACAGGTGGGGAGACAGGGATTGGGGAAGGACATTTTGAAAAGGTTAATCAGTGGGAACGGATTCAGGGAAGAGCAGAAAGTGCTGTTCACCCTTCACAGGTGCAGGATGTTTCATCGTGGCTACTCGGCCAGGTGAAGAAAGTACCAGCCCAAACCAGGTGACCTTGCAAGGCTTCTTCACCCCACGGTTTTCCCTTTAGACCATTTGAAATACTTTCCCACAAAGGACAGCATCCGTGCTGCCTGCCGGGGGGTGAGCTGTGACACAGGCCTTGGGGGCGCTCAGAGCCCAGCCCAGGCTCAGGGTGGAGCAAATTGCACCCTTAATTCCCACCTCTCTGCCAATGCTCTTGGCCAGACTATGAAGACAATATTCTAATACCAGAGCTAGAGATTTAAGTACTTGGACAAGCAAGAGAGTTTCCTTATTTACCACTTTGCCTCTTCCGAGAAAATGCTCTCAAACCAAGCCCGTGAAGGCACAGGAGAAGGCTTGAGTTTGGGTGACATGGGACAAAGCTTTTGCAAACAGAAAAGAGTAGTTTTAAATGAAGTTGACTTACATTTAAGGTGCTCAAAATATTTCACATGCCACAGCACAGTTCAAAAATGTCGGGGTCCCACGAACTAGGAAATTCAGTGGTGCGTGGAGAAGCGCTCACTGTAGAATGTCCATTTTTGTCTTTAACTGTCGTCTGAAAGTGCCAGCCTGGGGGCAGCCTGGGGGCAGCCTGGGGGCATCAGCTGAGCATGTGCTGAGTGTAGGACACGTTGCCCAGCATCGGCTGGACAAGGAAACATTTGTCATAAACAAAGTTTTCTTTAAGTGCAGCGAAACTAAACACTTAAACGAGTGTCATTTTCTCATCAGACATTATTCATTGTCCCTAAAATGATCTTTTTTCACATGTGGAAGGTAAGTTCCCTAAGAGTCTTAACCAATAAGCCTTGATCTTTAAACACTGATCTAAAGTAGAAAGCCCTACCCTTTGTTGTTCAGAAAACAACTCACTGTAAATGCACACTGCTCTTGACTTTTATAGAAAATGTGAAGGCAGATGCCTGGGACAGTGGTGATGGGAACTACAAGAAATTTTTAAAATCAAAAACAGGTCCTCCTTGGTGGCACAGGGGTTAAGTGTCAGCACCATGTAGCTCTGCAGCCACTCCAGCGCCAGTTCAGTTCCCGGCCAGGGAGTGACACCCCAGGGCGCAGCTGACCCCTCCTGTCTCCCAGCTGCTCCCCTCAGCAGTGTACTTAAGCAGAGCCTCCTATTCTGCTCCCCACTCTGTCTATGGGGAGTCCTCTCACCCCCTGCACCTCTAGCCTCCTACTCCTGTGTTCATAAATAAATAAAATCTTTTGAAAAATAAATTTGAAGACACAGAGCGCTCCCATACAAGTCAATTATAGGAACCTAAATTTCTAGGTTGTCTCTGTTTCCTTTAAAAATAGAGTGCCAAGTCTTCCTGGTGGGGTGACCGTGACTTAAATGAATCTTTTTACCTAAGTTTCATTAAGTTGCCCTTAATTTTCTCCCAAGTGCATAATGACAGCCTGTCACGGCCTGTCTGTGTGAGATGCCATTATCTGTGTGAGGGAGTGAGGCCGCTGAAGGCTGGGAGGGGTTTTCAGGCAGCCGAGGGAGGGAGGGGTGCTCTGTACCAGCAGCGTGCCCTCCTGAGCAAGCCCCATGTGGTTTCAGCCCCATTAACACACACACACCCCGAAGACTTAGCTGGACCCCCACTGGGGAAAAGCGGTCTGTTTGGAAGTTCACTGCAAGGGGGAGTCAATTTTTGTGAATCACCGCCTCAATATTCATTAATAGCTTTTAGGCTCTTAATCCCTTATTGAATATATTTTTCCCCGTAATTGCTACTTTTCAAAAGGGTTGCCAAAGCCTGCATTTCTAGTCTCTCGAACAGGCAGAAGAGAACGCAATCTCTGGTGTTCACGTGTGTGCTTATGCTAATGTTGCATCTCTGGTAAACAGCGTCTACGAGCCTTCCCCACGTTGAAATGGGCTGTTAGCCGACTGTGTGGGCTTTGTTTTGTTTTTAAATCTCCTCGGGTCATGGTTTTACAATTATTTAAAGTACATGGAAAAACAGATTACAGGGGAAATCATTTCGAAATGTTGGAAATCTCTACTTTCTAGTTTCATTTGTTGGCCTATTTGTTTGTTCCTGTCCAAACCATCCAGAAGCCCACTGCACTGCACAGTAATTGACTTTACTTGCTGGAGATGCGGGTAACCAGTGAACGAAGTTTCCAGTAATGTAATTTGTAATCTGGCCTTTATCGTCAACTCGCCTCCCGTGAATTGGCGTGTGTTTAAATAAAGCAGCTCTCCTTCAATCCTCATGAAGTAAGAATATCTGCACTCCATCTGGACTGATAGGTCCAGACAGATCCTCAAGTGCAGCGCTGGCTTCATCTGACCCGAGCAGAGGCAGGAAATAAGAGCTGTGGGAATATCCCTGTAGAGACAGCAGGCGCTTGGATCCCAGACTTGCTCTGAGCGTCTCAGCACAGGCGACCGCTGCGCCCCTGGGGCGTCTCTGCCGTGACCTGGCAGGACTGTGAGCTTCAGCTCTGCTTCAGACAGACCTGGCACCTGCTGATTTTCCGGTGCTGGGCCTGGCCATCTTTCAGGGTGTCTGGTGAGGGGGGTGAGAAAAACTGCAAATGCGGGCTCACCACCGTCAGCCAGAAGCTGTACTCGTTTGCGAAAAAGTGGCACGTTCCCTGCCGGCCTTGACACTCCAGGAATGGCACCGCTCTGAAGTCTTCCAGGCAGCTGCCAGGGGACGCCAGGGCCTGCCCGCCGCCCTGGCCCCCAGCGCCCGTGTGCTGCCGACAGCAAGAGAGAATTAGGGCCCCGGGCTGCAGCCACAGCCCCACTCCCACCCCAGACTGAGGCCCCATTCAGTTCCTGACAGGATTCCAGGAAGACCAACGATGACCGCCCAGGAAAGAAGGGGTGGGCCTGAGGGGTGCTCACACCATGTCTGGGCACCTTTACCCCAGATAAGTGTGTCTGTTGTCTACACCCGAGTCTTCACAGACTACAGGAAAAGGGAAGGTCCTTGGTCCTCCCTGGTGACGCAACGGGCTAAAGCACAGCACTGTGAAGGTGTTGCAGCCACTGCACCTCGAGCTCAATTCCCCCGCCAGGGAGTGACCCACAGGGTGCAGCAGACCTGTCTCCCCACTGCTCCTCTCAGCAGTGTGTTTCAGTCAGCCTTTCTGTTCTGCTCCCCTCTCTGTCTCTGGTGAGTCCTCTCACCCGCCCCCCCACACCTCTGCCTTGCACCCCAGTTCCTGTAGGCATAAGTAAATCTTTAAAAAGAGAGAGAGGGTTCCTCAGGCCTCACCCTCTAACTGTGCTGTCTCCACGTGCTGGCTGGAAGACGAGCCCAGATGGCGGGCGGGGGGCGCTAGGGTTTGTCGGGGTTCAGGGGCTCACCATCAGGAAGGAGTACCCAATCCAGAGGCTCCTCCAGGCCGGCGGACACGGGGGCACGGCCTGGTCCTGGCTGTGCACCGCCACGGCCGGCGCGGGCGCCTCGCACACGGCACAGCGGCTGACGTAGGGGCGGATCTCCTCCTCCGACAGCGGCCGCGGGGGCAGGGGCGCGGCGCTGGCCAGCCAGTAGGACTTGTCATTCCTCCTGGCGTAGTGGCACACTTGGTGAATGTTACAGTAGGCGAAGGGCAGGGTGCTGAACAGGGGCAGGCAGGACCCCGCCAGGCCTGGGGGCGAAGAGGCAGCGCGTGGGTGCCGCGCCCCAATTCCCTTAGCCAGCGCGGACCCGGCACTGGTCACCGAGGCCCTGGGCCGGCTCTTTCAGCGCTCCCGCTCGCTGGTGGATGCAGACAGAGCAGCGGGCGAGGCCTGACTTCGCCAAGCCCCTGTGTGTGATCACCCAACAGGCAATAAATTCAGGGGGTCCGGTGAGGAGTGCGGGCTGGACAGGTGGGCGGGCACTGGCCGCAGTCAGCGTGGCCCTGGCAGGGGAGGGATGAGGCTGGGCCTGGGGGTGGCTCCAGGCGCCAGCCAGGCCCGGGAGACCCAGCCCACAGAGCCAGAGACAGGAAGGGAATGTTCAGCTCCGGGGGGGCGGCAGGGAGAGGATGTCTGTGCGTCTGTCCAGATGTCTTTGTGTCTGTCCACCTCAGGGTGTGCAGGGGTCAGTTAGGACAAAGATGTGGGCTTTGTCAGCCTGCTGAAGGGGCTTAGATTTCATGCTGAGAGCTCAGAGGAGCTTTGCAGGCTCAGTCTTGCTAGACCTGAGTGGGAGAAGTGGGGCTGGGGGTGTTCAGGGGAAGGATGTCTTAAAGGAACTCTGCTGAGTCTTATGGGCCCCACCCCCTACTCCAGCTTTCCGGACTCTACCCCCTCGCCAGTGATTGGAAACTACAACTCCCAGCAGCACCAGGGAGAGAACTGCAACTCCGACCCAAGGGAAATCCGGCCCAAGGGCGGAGCTAAGCAGGAATTCTGGGACATTCTTGGGGGATAAATAGGGCTGGCAATTGCATCTCTCACTCTCGAGAAACAGCTCTCCTAACAGTGTGACTTGGTGTTTTCAGTCAGCCTAGCCGAAAGGTATTCCAATTACTTTGTATTCTGCTCTCTTTCCTTGGGTTGTTTCCTATTTCTTTCCCCTTTTGCAAATAAACCCATTATTGCCCCTTGTGTGTGCTCCTGCAGTACAACTGAATTTTGAGTGCGCAGGTGAGGCCCCACAGACAGGCGGCCCTGTCCACTCTGGGCTCCCCTGTAACAGGGGCAGAGGGGGTGGGAAGAGCAGTAAATACACTGACATAGGAATCATTACTTGGTTCTTTGCCCCACCCCACTGATGGGGAAGGCCTGGAGAACCCGAGAAAGAAAAGGTGGGGGGCTTGGAAATAGCTGCCCCCGCAGTGGGAACAAGTGACACCATCAACTGTCCCTGTCAGGGGCCCCCTGTGTCCACCCTGCACCATCTTGAGAAGAGTGTCCAGCACTAAGAACTTAAACCCGAGACTGAAATCAATGTGGTAGCTTCCAAAGCTACTATTGAAAACTGTGCCAAGGGACAATGTGGTGTCTTAAACCTGTACTTTAAGAACAAACTGGAAGGCTCTGGGGAGATGGTGCTGACCCTGCTGCATCCCACAAGGGCCAGGGTCCCTCTGGGTGCTGTTGGACATATAAACACAACAACTGACTCTATCGTGACCATGTCGTCCACACTGGGAAGTCAAAACTGCTTTGTGCATCAGATTTGCATTTAATGTACAAAGAATCCTTTTCCAAAGCTAGCAAGAAGCCAGACACTGATAACGCTAAGCCGGATGAGCTTCTTTGACACCTCGTGGGATCCTGGGTTTCACAGGATTGTTAGGAGTTCACGTGATAGTAAGAAAACATCCCCAGACAGGGAGTGGTGGGTGAGGATGAGCCCAACCTGCAAAATGAACCCGAAGGCTTTCCCGCCAGCCACGGACTTGGCCCGCCGGATGTACCTACCGAGGTCTTGGTTGTGCGCTCTCTCTTGTCCTTCCAGGTACAGCAGACTGTACCCCGTCCAGAGCCTGGGCATGCCCTCGGGGCAGGCGGGCTCCACATCCGTCTGGCTGTGGAGCACCAAGAGGAAGCTGCTGAGGTGTTCAGGCCCCAATCCTTTGGGTCCAGGATCTCCAAAGGGCCCGGGAAAGCCTGAGGAATAAAGGGGACAATGAAAGCTATTGAAGGGTTCAGAACAAACACTCCCGAGCACCTCCATTCCTGCCAGATGCTGAGCACCCGAGCCAGAGGCGAGCACAGGGGTACTATTGGCTCCAAGCCAGTCCAGGTGCTGGCCACAATGGAGTCCCACTAGAGAAGAGGCAGCCCTTGGCCTCCTAGAGCGCACATCCTACTTGAGGAAGAGAAGCCGAGACCAACGGGTGCCATAAAAGGCAGGGGCGAGGTTCGTTAGGAGACAAATAGGTGCCGAGAAGGGAACCGGGAGTGGCTCCCAGTCCCCGGCCGCTCCAGGAGGGAAGATGGTCCAAGTCGGCCTTTCCGTACTGTTAAGGGGAAGGATGTCCTAAAGGAACTCTGCAGACTTTTGTGGACTCCCACCCCTACTCCGGCTTCCTGGACTCCACCCCCTACGCCAGAGACTGGAAACTACAACTCCCAGCAGCACCCGGGAGAGAACTGCAAGGACCCAAGGGCGGAGCTAAGCAGCATTCTGGGACTTTGGGGGATAAATAGCGCGCTGTGGTGTCTTTCACTCTCTAGCTTGCTCGGAAACTGCTCTTGGAAGTAGCCCTTGGGAGAGCATGACTCTGGGATTTCAGGTAGTTTGTTACCAGACCTTCAAGTCAGCCCAGCCAGTAAGATATTCCAGTTACTTTGTATCCCGCTCTCTTTTCCTGGGTTGTTTCCTTTTCCTTTCCCCTTTTGTAAATAGACCCATTTTTGACCCTCTTGTGTGCGCCTACAGTATAACTGAATTGTGAGCGTGCAGGTGAGGATGAGCGCGCAGGTGAGGCCCCACCGACAGGCAGCCCAGTGCACACTGGGGTGCCCTGTAACAGTTTCCCCGATCTCCCCCGGGCGGTTCTGGCACTGAGCTCCCTTCTCAGGAGAGCCAGGCCTGAGGTCCACGCCATGGAGCTGGGCTGTGTAAAGGAAGAGTCTAGAGAAGTCTAGTGGGATCTGTCTCCTTTGATGCCTCTCGGGCTGGTACTTTGAGGAGGAGCCAATGATCTTTTCCTTTCTTATTTTACATTTTAAAAGGACAGATTGGTCAGGAAAAGGAGGAAGAAAAACAGCAGCTGCTGCACAGCATCAGTGTGCAAAGTCACCCACCACGCCCGAGGTCTCTGGCCCAACAGGGGACGATCCCACGGCAAAGCCAGGCTGACAGGTGAGGGAGCCACTGAGAGGGCCTGAGGCTGCGGCTGGGGGGGCTCTGCGAGGATGGGCTGAGGTTTGGGGGAGACTCCGCTGGAGCCGCCTGCAGCGGCTGAGTGCTAAGCATCCTCCAGGAGGTGGGGTGCAGCCCACTCTGTCCCCCTGGCTTCTCTGGCTTCTCTCGCCCCATACCTGGCAGCTCCTATCTTGGGCAGCTGCGCTCACTAGGATCAGTGTGGAGAGTTCAGCACCTGGGGCCCTGAGGAAGGTTCTGGCATCTACTGAATCAGAGTAAAAAGAGAATCTGAAGCTCCTTACCTGGCGCTCCTGGGCAGCCAGCCTCTCCCTTGTCACCTGGGTGTCCAGGAGGCCCAGGGGGCCCAGGAAAGCCGTCCGCTCCCCTCCTGCCATCCGGGCCGGGTTGGCCTTTGCACCCTGCATGGAAGTGGCCGTGGTAGCTTGGGCCCCGCAGGCACTGACTCAAGTCCCCACGTGCCAGTCTGGCCATCCTCAGGCGTGTCTACCTGGCCCCTGAGGGAGGCTCACTCTCCACCTGGACGTGGGGCCGAGCGGCTCAGTCAGGGGCTGACGGAGGCCAAAGGAGGCCGATGGACTCACGTCACAGCAGACACCCGACGCCAACCCACAGCAGGGGGTATGGGCAGAGAGGTTTTCACCTATTTCTCAAATTTTTGTATATTTCACCTTTTTTTATATTGAACATCTATGGCTGTTATAAACAATAGCAGCCTTCGTTGTAACGTTTCAGACACCTGAGTGAAGGAATGAATAAAATTTAGCATTCAACTGGGGATCAGGTTAAGTTTGGAGCAAGAGCAATTCTCACAAACAGCCCGTTGTTGAGGGTTTACAGAGTGCCTGGTGCGCGCTGGTCACCTACGGGACTTCAGTCTCTGCAGCCGTGGCCGTGCGTGGACACTCTCACCGCCAGACCACGGCCATGAGACTGTGGCTCAGCATGGCCTGAGCAACCCCCGGGGGTGGGGGGCGCCATCCCCTGACCTGCTGGGACCAAGCTACAGGGCTCAGCACTCCTCGGAGGACCTCACCCACCGCGTGGCTGGTCCCAGACACTCGAGAGGCTCTCTGTGCTTAGTCACCTTTGGGCAAGCTGCAGGCTCCTGCGTTTGGGGAGCAGGTACGGCCTGGGGGGTGGGGGCTTACTGTCGTGATCCCACGTAACGAAGGAGATTTTAATTGTTAATCTGTCTCTCTCTCACCCTTCTCCCTCTCCCTGCCACCAGTCAGTCAGCCTAGAGTCAGCCCTGAGTCAAAGAGGCTCACCCAAGTAGCTCCCATTCTTTTCTATTCTTGGGTGGCCCTTCAAGCAATGGGGGGCCTCTGAGGCTGCAGAGCAGAGAACTGCGCCCCAGCTCCTGGGTGGTGCGAGATGCCCCCCAGCATACTTCTCGCACACTGGCCCCAGGAAGCATCTGAAATGCAGCCCCCACCCAATCTAACCTCGTGGCTATAAAATCTCTCTCTGTCCAGCCGACAGCTCCTTCCTTCCTTTGGGGGCCCACCAGCCAGCCTCCCCTCACACCCGCTTTCCTCACTCGGCCAGGTGGATGTCCCACTCCCTGGTGGTCCTCACACTTTGGCTTTGCTGTTGGGTTGTTGGAGATGTTTATCTAATCAAGGCGGGAAGACGTACTTAGGAGTTACAGTTTGGGAAACACATGACACATTAACAAAATTTCATTTTACAAAAAGGAATAAAACTATGTCTAGAGCAGCCCTCACTGTGCAATGGACAGTCTCTCCGGGGAGCCACCCACTGCCCAACAGGATGTGGGGTGCCCACTAGGGGCGACCCATCAAACCAAGATGGAAGCTCTGCTTGTGTTCCTCACAGGAAGCCTCAGCCCCGAACGTCGCCCGGAAGGGAAAGCCTGGAACAAAGCCAGTGGCTGGACCTCCACAGACACCAGTTAAACCCAGTGAGGCCATTACCACTCTCTGGGCAGGAACGGGCCAGAAGTCGGGCTTTTCTGTGTGAATCTCAGCTGCAGTACTTGGTCACACTCTCAGCTGAGTCACAAGAGGGCTTGGAAGGAAGTGTAGGGAGAAAAGCTGGGGCTTCCTAATGCAGCTGCCTTCACAGCTGGGCTCGGGGTGGTGGGCATCCCTCACACGGTGCTAGAAGAACCCCTTTGGAAGAAGACGTATGATGAGCCACACGTGGCCGCCAGTGGCCTGCCAGTCGGGGCTGGCGCACATCAGGCCCAAGCCCTCCCCAGCCCCTCCGATGGCCACTGTATTTCCTAAGATTCAAAGATTTATGTCCACTGTGCTCTGTCAGTTTTGTTTTCTTTGGTTATTTATATTCTACCAACAAGAGAAACCATCTGGTATCAGCCTTTCACTTTCTGATACTTTCACTGAGCATAAGCCCCTCAAGATCCATCCATGTGTCCCAAGAGGCGTGATTTTGTCTGTTAACGCAACCAAATAGTGTTGCACGGCCTCTTCACACAGCTGTGTGTCACTGGCTGGCCCTGGCTGTGCCCTATTGTGGGGACAGCGCTGCTGTCAGCAGAGGCTGGATCTTTCCAGAGCTCACGTTTCATCTCCTTTGGGCTGATATCTGGCTGTGGTATTTCCACTTTTACTTTTTGAAAGAATGTCCACGGAATGTTCCTTTTAGAGTTGACAACCTCCAGGCAGAAAGAGCTGGGAGAACAAACCTAAGCAGTTCTAAATGATGGGAGGTGATAGGTGTTTTGAAGTAATTGGCAGCAAAGAGCATTAGGAGACTGGGCTGTTGGTGCAAACTCCAGAGTCTGCACCCGGTTACACTCCCAGCAGGCGTGGAGGAGGGTCCCTTACTCCACACGCTCGCCAGCATTTGCTCTGTGTTTCACCTTTTTTCGAGGACCGTCCTCACAGGCACAGGGCTGAGTGAGCTCTCCTTGTGGTAATTTGCATCCACCTTCTAAAAAGCCATGTCCGTATCATTTTGCGCACCTCTAGGCCACCTGGATGTCTTCTCTGGCCACGTGTCTATTTAGGTCTTCTGCCCATTTTCTGAGTAGGTAGTTTTTTTTCTTTTTTTTTTTAAGATTTATTTTATTTGTACATACAAAACTGGGGTACAGGCCAGAGGCTCAGGGGCGGTGAGAGGCTTCACCAGAGACAGAGTGGGGAGCAGAACAGGCAGATCGAGGAAGTACACTGCTGAGGGGAGCAGCGGGCGGGTCAGGAGAGGTCTGCCACGCCATGTGGTCACCTCTGGGGCAGGCGGTTGAACTCATGCAGAAGTGCCTTTAGCTTCTCAGTGCTGTGCTTTAACCCGCTGCGCTACCAGGAGGGCCCTGAGTAGGTAGCTTTATGCCGCTAAATTTTGGCTCAGGTGTCTCAACCTTGAATGTGTATATGAACATCCAGGCATCTTGTGACAAGCAGACTCTAATTCTGCAGGTCTGGGGCGTGGCCTGAGCCACTTCTGGTCCTCGGACTGTGCTTGGAGGGGCACAGAATTGGTGGCATCTGGTCACCAGGCCACCAGGTCACCAGGCCAGTCCACCCCCCAGTGCCCCTGCACCTCCCTGTTGGACAGCCTCCTTCCTCACAGGGCAGCCTCTCTCCCGGGGGCTCAGCGCCAAAGCCCCTGCCTGCTGGGGTCTCAGCACTCCTGCCCCTGCACCAAACCCAGCCCCTCAGCCCTGTCTCCTAATGCTCTTTGCTGCCAACTCCTTCAAAACCCCGTATGACCTCCCATCATTTCAACCTACTTAGGTTTGTTCTGCTGGCTCTTTCTGCCTGGGGGTTGTACATTTCTAAAGGGAAGAAATCTTTCTTATTCCCATTTGTATCACCTGCATCACCTAATACATTTTCTTAAAGTAGAGGGAGGGACTCTGGAAGTGTTTACCGGCTGAATCGGCAGAATGCCATTACAGGCCACACCCACTTGAAAGGCATTTTGTAACGGTGGGGGAGTCTTGCAAGGGCTTATGGGGAGAGGCCTGGTGGCCCCGTGGCCCGGTGGCCCCATGGCCCGGTGGCCCCATGGCCCTGTGGCCCCGGAGCTTAAGCAGGGCTCACGCGGTGCTTACCGTTCCTGAGAACCGGGCCTGCAGTGAGTGCCAAAGAGAGGGAACTTTAAGTCACCTCTGACTCAGAGGTAACAGAGTTGCTACCAATTTGCTTAGAGCAATAACAACAGTGACTCGGCCGCTGCAGAGGTCCCAGAGCCCGCACAGAGGGGGCTCTACAAAGCCGCCCCGGACACACCGACACCACTAGCCCCACCTCGCTGCTTGTCTCTCAGGCCCTGGGCTGCTTGGCTTTGGGGAGACACAAGAAAAGCAGGTGGCACTTCGGTTCCATGTCCAATATGTTTTTTCCTGAACCAAAACGTTCTCAGCCAGGCAGCAGCGGCCATGCACGCAGGGATAGCCTCATGCCTCTCAGGATACTCCGCAACAGGTCAGCTGCAGTCCAGGGCTCTGCCCCTGGTCAGAAGAGGCCACTGCCCTGCAGAGAACCAGCCCTGGGTCCCTCATCTCTTTGTAAAGCACCCACTGCAGTGGGGTTACGTGAGGAAAAAATAAACCATTTTATTTTTTTTAAGGATGATTGGTTTAAGGCCTAGACAAGGCTATTCTGCCAATGATGGAGCAAGGCTCGGGTCAGTGAGTGAACAAGGCCACAGGGCCACACCCCTGAGCGACGCTCCTCCCTTCCTGCTCCATCCTCCCAGTTGTGACTTTACCTCCTTCTCCCTCCCTGTAGGCAGTGGCTGTTTCAATGAACCAGTTCAGCTGTTTTTCATTCAAAATCAAGTCAAAAGCTATTCATGACTATTAATGGTTAATCGGGCATCTAGGCTGTTGTGCTCGGAGGTTTCAAAACCTCCAGTCTAACAGCTGTCCACCAGAAAAGATTTAAGCAGGAGTTCAACACAAACCAGGAGCGATGTATCGATCCAGTTTGTTATGATTAAACCTTTGGGGAAATGTATGAAAAATGTATAAGAGGAAGGAGATTTTCATTGCTTTCTCCTTATTGGGATTTTAGGCTATGTACCAAAAAATGCAGAGCAAAGCACATGAATTTCCAGTTCAGCAACCTGGGGGGGCGAGGGGGGTATTATGAGGAAGCAGGCCCATACCTGGCCCAGGGGGGCCTCTTGCTCCAGGTAACCCTGTGGCTCCATCCGGTCCTCTTGGGCCTGGCACCCCAGGAAGCCCTGGGATGCTGGGGCAGAATTCCGGGTCTGCAGGTGGTCCGGGCTCCCCTGCAATTGGAATCAGCTGTCACCGCTGTGTGAAGGCCTCGGCCCAGCTCCTCCTGCCTTCTCCTTAGACAGCTCCACACACTACGATGACACATTAGCAAGAAAGACCCACAGGGGTTTCTGCTCACTGGGGGGGGCATGACAATGCCCTGGAAAGGGTCAGTGAGTGAACAAGGCCACAGGGCCACATGGCCCTGTGGGGGCATGACAATGCCCTGGAAAGGGTACTGTTCAGTGAGTGAATAAATGAGCAAATGCGTTAGGGGGTAGGAGTTCAGGAAGCAAGAGCATCTGCAGTAGTGAAGGCTGCTGAGAGAGTAACCACTGTGCGTGGTCTCAACAGGACTGCCCACCTTTTGGGGGGAGCATAGAAGAGCTGGGGTGTAGGCTAGAGGGCTGTAGGGGGTGAGAGGATCCACCAGAAACAGTAGAGAGCAGAACAGGCAGACTGACTGAAACACTGCTGCGGGGCGCAGCGGGGAGACAGGAGAGGTCTGCTGTGTCGTGTGGGTCCCTCCCTGGCTGGGGATTGAACTCGTGCCACAGTGGCTGGGGACAGCTTGATAGTGCTGAGACTTTAAGCCCTGCACAACCAGGGAGGCATCAAATGCCCACTTTTGAACCATGTTTTACTGGGGTGGCAGCCCCAGGAGGCATCAGGAGAGGCACTGGTGGGTTTCTATACTCAGCTTACTGTCTCTCTCATTCATGACCTGCAGTCATGTGGGCATCCACTGTGTCCTTTGCTCAGAGAGAGCATTTGAGGGCAGTGACTGTAAATTTAGGGCATGTTGGAATTATCCCAGGGAGTTGTAAAAATATCCTGAAGTCTGGGTCCTTGCCCCAGAAATACTGGTTTAATTAGTAAAAGACCTGACTTGGGTAGTGTCCTCAAGCTTGGTTGACAAGAAATCTAGCTGACAATAAATCTAGCTGGCAAGCGAGAAGTACTGGTATCCAGACCCCAGCTGCACTTATCAAATAGGAATTCCTGGGGGTGGGGCCCAGGCGTCAGCCATTTTTTTAATTCTCCAGATGATTCCAGTTTTCCCCAGGACTGAGCAGTATCACTGTGAAGCTGTCATGCTGACTTGGGCACAGCAGAATCATCAGATCGGCTCACTGGCACCCCAAGTCTGGGCAGGGAGGTGGGTACCCAAACTACATGTTCCCCCTGAGGCTGACGTGGACGCAGGACCTCCTGTCGAGAAACACCCCTCTGGACATTGGACATCTCCTTCCTGATTATGTTCACATCTTTACAAAACTTTGCCCTGAAGATTCATTCAGTCACCCTCAAAACATTCTACCAGGAGGAAGAAATGGTAACACAAAGTAGTAACGGTAACAGCTGATGGCAATGAACTGAATTGAGGGGAAACGAGTTGATCTGGATTCACCAAGTGCTACAGGCTAAGTGCTTCACGGCTCAGCGCTCCCACGTGTAGCACTGGAGTGCTCAGGTGACAGACTAGAAGACTCGGGCCCAGGCAAACAAGTGACACATTGAAGGTGACAGCAAATGGCAGCATCTGAACTAAAACCCAAGATGCTGGGGTTCCACCGACGTCCCCAGTCTGCACACCATACTCCAGGGCTTGTCAAAGCTGTGTGATGAATTCTAAGAAATGCACTTTATCTTAAAAACAACCTATTAGTTATCATGGTCTTAGGACTCACACGCTTGGGCAAGCCAATTTTAAGAACAGTGATGATAAGGCAGAAATTCCTAGAAATGTGCTGAGAAAATTAACTATGATATTCCCCATTTTTTCTGAGTAAGTTGGTGACAACTCACTAGAGAGATCATTTCAGTTTTTAAGTATGAACACTTCAATAGCAGAATATATTGAAATTCTGATTCTACTTTTCCATACTTTTTAACAAACAAAAAACTGAAGGAAAGGAGCTAAGGCATCGATGCAAGGGTCCTAAAAATAAAATGAGGCATCTGTAGCCACGGCAACTTCCATGAGGGTTAATAACAGACGCCTGGAAGGAACAAATACAGAAATTCCCAAATTTCCTTTTCTTCTTTTGAAACTCTTTTTATTCTCTTAGAGCATGCCAGACACAAAATAATATATTGCTTTTGCATTGTGGAGAGTGACACGAACTATCAGTTGGGAAGAAGAATGGCATTTTCTTTTTAACACACAAAGAAATTTGCTCTCTGAACATGGACTTTGGAAGGGAGAGGAAGGCTTGCCCCAGGCCCATACTGGGTTAAGGGCTGATCTTTTTATGTTGTTGATATGGATTATTCTAAGGGTGTTCAATGTATTTATGCTGTAGAATTTTGAAAGAAAATGTACTACAATATGTGCGGCAGCGTTTGACAGAGAAAGCTCTCATACTCTATACTCTATGCTTGAATTGAAATTACATAAGCTGAGCATGTACACTGTCTTGACAACCTATAATGAGGCTTGGCATCAGGACACTCTAATATGGGGTTACTTTAACTGTCACGAGGATGCGAAGGCAATAGAACCTAACATAATTGCAGCACCCCATTTGTGAAGAGTAACCAAGTTTAAGTCACAAATACAGCAAAAAAAAAAGAAGAAGTACAGAAATGACTGGAAGCCAGATTTAGAGGAATTTATTATTCACAGTTATGCTTACCTTTGCAACCTGGAGAGATCCAAAGCCCAAATGAAGAAGCCACATGATTTTCATATGGTAGAAAGAGATTTAAATGTGTGAATTAGGACAAATATGAAATGGACATCAATAATCATGTGAGCACAGCTTCAAAGGCAAGTGGAATAACAATCTCTTATTTACATAAAAAGTACACCTCGATGCTCTTGACAAGAACAGCTATGGGCCAGTAATGGCGTTTGCATATCAAAACTGGACCCAGCAATTCCACTCGTAGGGGTCCACCCAAAAGACACAAACACATTCATGCACAAGGATACGATGGTTACTGCAATACTACTTATAATAGGTAAGACTTGGAAACAGCCCAAATGCCCAAAAGTAGATCATGGGATCAAGAAGTAGATGTGGTATATATACACACTAGAATACTATTCAGGAAAAAAAAGATAAGTTAATGCCATGTGTGGCAACATGGATGGCGTTAGAAAGGATCGTGCCCAATGTAGTAAGTCAGAAAGAAAAAGAAAAATGTTGGCTGATTTCACTTACAGGAAGAACACAGGGAAACCAAATAAGGAATCGGGGGGGAAACAATGCCAATTAAAAAAACAACACAACAAAAATAGACAACTATAAATCAGAGACATTCTGCGGGGGAGGGGCAGGAAGAGGGTATGAAACGGGGGGGGGGGGGGCAGGAAGAGCACAAGGCACCAAGGTGACGGTGCAGGTGACTCGGCGGTGGGAACTCTGTGGAGACCACACCTGATGTCAATATATACACAACAGGAAATTAAACATAATAAATAAGCTATTGTTTTTTTAAAAAAGCTTGAAATGCTAGTCTCTTGCACAATCTAAAATCCACTTTGATTTCTGAAGGGTGACAGACCCTAATTCCATACAGACATTCTGTGCCTTTGAAGGTTCCTGCCAATTCCGTACGAACTTGCCCAGCTTCAGACGCTGTGCACAGAAAGGAAGAGAAGGTGAAGCCAGGTGGACAGGCCCTTGGCTGTGCTGTCCTTGGCCATCATACGTCACACACCTTGTTCGTGCCTCGACTGGCCTGCTGATAGGGGAAGGGGTGCGCCCGCTGGGTCCCACATTATGTGGTATTGGCTTGGGGCTGTGGAACACGCTCCTTCTGTCCATCTCAGATGTGAGTCTGGGTCCTTTCCTGCTCAGCGTTGGCAAACTTTGACCCCTTAATGAAAATGTTTTGTCTCTGGAACTTATATTGAGTAACTTTTCTTTTCGTGGAACTAATGTACCATCCCGAAAAAGTTAAATAAAAAGATCTAGAAAAATCCACTGGAATTCAGAGACAGGAACTGACTACAACTCTCACATAGAAGACTCAAGTCCATCTACCGTGAGGGAACCCAGATTTATATTTTCCCAAAGAAACATTTGGTGTAAAATCAACTCCTAGTCTTACTGATGCTGACCATAAATATTAATACATCAAATATATCACTTTGTAAAGCAGCCTGCACCAAATATAACATTTACCTCAGAAAGGGCTCCACTCATGAGAATTTGCTGGTAACTTCAGAATAATTGAATGACTGCCTGGAAATGGCCATCACAGAATGACAGGTACAGGCAGCTCAGTGGAGAAGCTTACCTGGGGGGCCCGGGGGCCCTGGCATGCCTGGAGGTCCAGGTAAGCCCTTCTCTCCAGGGAGCCCTGGAATTCCTGGTGGCCCCGGCGGCCCTGGGTATCCCATTGGCCCTAAAATGAACACATTAGATTGAGGGCACAGGAGTGGAACCATATGTAGTCAATGAAAGAGTGGTGCATTCAGAAGCTCCCCCGACCAAAAGCAGACAAAGCCTGCTTGAGAGTCCAAGCTCATCTCTCACTCTTTTCTGCCAGGTTGAGATGAGCTGCCTCTGGAAAGAAGGAAACAGGGCCCCTTGAACACAACCAAGAGCAATGAGTCCACAACCAAGAGAAAACTAAATCATAACACAAAGCCGCATGTCCTGGATTCCTCTGGAGACCGAGGGCAGAGGCTGAAGGGAAAAGAAGGGCAGGTGCCTGACTGCCTCAGGGTAGTGGCGCCCAGCCCCGAGCGCCCACGCGCTTCACCTCACCCTCTGTTTCAGCCACACCAGCCACTCAGTTGCTCGCACAGTCTGTTCCTCTCTTCTTTTCCATCTGTGAAGTCCTTCCCATTCTGTAGAGTTCATCAGGGAGCCCACCCAGGAACCCCAGCCCAAGTCCAGAGACGTAGCAGCAAGCTCCCACAGAAGAGGACCCCTTTGCTGAAGCTCATCTCCGTCCAGCTTGCAGGATCACTGAGAGTGAAAATCTGGCTTTCCCTGGCTTTTACTATTCCTAGTAAGAGTGGGGACTGTGCAGCTTTGTTTCACACAATTATTGCAGGTGTCTAGTGTATATGAACCGTTAAGCTGAGGATACTCCCTGTACTTTTCACAAGGACACACTCGATTTCTCCTGCCCACTGACATGGGCAGAGGATTAGGGCTCTCCCTGGTGGCGCAGTGGGCTAAAGCACCACATTATGAAGCTCTCTGAAGCCACTGCAGCACGAGTTCAATCCCCGCCCCGGAGGTGACCCACACGGCGCGGCAGACCTCTCCTGACCCTCCCGCTGCTCCCCTCAGCAGTGTACTTCATCAGTCGGCCTGTTCTGCTCCCCACTTTGTCACTGGTGCATCCTCACCCACCATACCTCTGGCCTGTACCCCAGTTCTGTAAGCATAAATAATCTAAATATAAATAAATAAAGAACTAGGAGCAGGGCTCCACCAATTTTTCTGACTTTAGTAAGTCACTAGTATCTAGAAAGTTCAATATTTTCCCAATCCTGGAGTTTATTCCCAGGTGGGGGTTCAGCCTCTGGGTAACATCTGGTGAATTGTGTAGAAGAATAAGGTTATATCACAAGCTTCTTTTCTTAGTGACTAGAGTGTGAGCATGTATTTCCAACTCCGGGGTTCAATAACTGGAGCCCACCTACATACAGATTCTTTAAAATTGATTTTATTACTAATAAAGGTGAAGCGAGCTTCTGGGCATTGTCATCCAGCTTGTGCACGGCTCAATTCCAGGGGTGGCATCAGCTCTCGTCACAGCAACACCACTGTGATTTTGATCTTCCCTCCACCCTAATCGTTTGCCTCATTTCACATCTGATTCTGAAGTCAGACTGGGTGCAAGTTATTTGGTTCCTGAAAACTTTAGCATTTCATTGTTTGGTATCCAAGAAGCCTTATTTCTATATAACATAAGAGGATTAACATGGATAATCAATATTGGTCCCTTTTCAAAAAATGTCTGTGTATCTTATAATTCCCTGAAATGTTAGAGACTGAAGTTTAGTATCCCTAAATATTAGCAGTTTGATTAAAAAATAATTAAAATAGTTTTAAATGATGAGAGCAGTTCAATAGTGGGGCTATTTCATGAATATCAAAGAGCAAAGTCAGCAGTCTAAAACACCTGTCCAATAGAAAATCCACTAATCACGTGCTAATTCACTAATCACATGCAACTCTTGGATCCTGAAGTGGATAAATCCAAACTGACTTGTGCTTTAATTGTAAAACATAGACTGGGATTCTAAGACAGAAGGAGGCATGTCTTATTGGAGAGTGGAACAAGGTTTGTACAGAGCCTTGAATATCCCATTGATTATCTGTGTTAATTATATGCTAAATTAATATTTGAATGTTACAATAAATAAAATTATGTATGAATGCTATTTTACCTGCTTATTTTTTTTAATGTGGCTGCCACATGTTTTAATAACATTTTTAGCTTGCATCACATTTCCATTATCAGTTCTGGTCTAAAAGAGAAACAAGTGTCTTGTAAATGAATTTGTTCTTTTTTTTTTTAAGATTTGATTTATTTATGCATACAAAACTGGAGTGCAGGCCAGAGGTACAGGGGTGATGGGAGGACTCACCAGAGACAGAGTGGGGAGCAGAACAGGCCGACTGACAAAGAAGAGCAGCGGGTGGGTCAGGAAAGGTCTGCCACTCCCTGTGGGTCACCTCCGGGTGGGGATCGAACTCATGCTGAAGTGGCTTTAGCTTCTTAGTGCTGTGCTGTAACCCTCTGAGCCAGCAGGGAGAGCCCTGTTTCTTCTTTTTATTTGTCCTTCTTTTACCCAAAATCTAAGACTCTGGGCACATTGGGACATTTTGGAAAGGTAGTCACTGTTCCCACAGGAAATAGGAATTACCTCCGAGGACCACAGCACCCCAGAACCTTAAAGGAAAACATGAGAGTCTGCTGTACTATTTAAGGAACAATTTGAATTCATACCTTTTGGGCCATCTTGTCCATCACATCCTGGGAAGCCTTTGTATCCGGGAGGACCGCATGGACCTTGGAAGCCAGGTGGTCCGGGCCAACCAGGGTCACCTGGTTCCCCTTTCAGAAGCTCAACACTCCCAGGGGGGCCTGGAGGCCCAGGTCTTCCTGCCATAGGAAAGGGGTAAAAAAATCCTCTCAAAAACAAATGCATGCTGGCTGCCTAGGTACTTCCTAAGGAAGTAACTTAATGGTTTGTAAACAAGGGATGGAGGGAATTCAAATAATTAAAAAGTCAGCAGTCTCAGAAGAGAAAGATCAAGTATGTCTCAAAGAACGAGTTGAGAAATGGCGTAGTCTGTCAGTTCCTATTATACAAAAAGAACCTTGTCTCTCTTCCCTTCAGAGTTATTCCTTCTGGAAGAATCAATTATGATTACATTTGCATTGTCATCCCACTGGAAGGGATGGATGAAAGGGAGGGAGGGAGGGAAGGGAGGAAGAAGGGAGGGAGGAAAGGAGGGAGGAAAGGAGGGAGGGAGGGTGGTGGATGGATGATGGATGGATGGGTGGGGGAGGGATGGGATGGTAGGTAAGTGGGTGGGAAGATGGGTGGATAGAGCTAGAAAGAGACACAGAGATGCATAGGCAGGTTGACGAGAGACTTTTGAGAAAATGTGGTTGATGGAATGAAATATTCATTCAATTTAATTTATGTTCCTATTTGTAAACAAGTTTCTACATATGGGGGTTGAGAACAAATTTTATTTTACTGTTTTATCTTCTATTTAAATTCCATATTTAAATTCTATATTAGCACATTTTAATTACTTTTATTTTCCATAGTATAAGATAAAATTAGATGCCATTTGAATCCCACCTTTACTAAAGTAGGGTTTTAAGGATAGTGAGTTTATGTCACTTAGACGGTTCTAGTAGAAAGATGGTGGTCTGTTTTCAGCGAGAGTGCACGGGGCCATGTTCTTCTTCCCACCCCTGACCAGCTCCAGGCTGACCCTACTTTGTCTGACATTGTGTCTCGGGATCTGTCCCTGAGGACTGATGAGAGGGACAAAGTGTGCTGTCAGCAACACACGAAGCAACTGTCTCTGTGCACCTCCAGGCCTTCGTCCAGCCTCTCTGGCTCATGGCAGTGGGCTAGAGACCAACAGAACAGAGTGGACTCCCTCCTGCAAGCCGCCTCTGAGGCTGTGGTCAGCATCTGGCCAATGGGAGGCCTGCCGTGAGCCAGCGCTTGCGCCCCCGAGAGGGTCTGCTGGAGTTGCAACACCACTGCTCTGGGCCTGAGCATGGTCCTGAGGCCCGTCACTCCCCACCTCCCCACCCCCCAAGCTGATGGGCTGCCAGGGCGCAGCCTCTCTGCAGAACTGGAGTCATCTAAGAAGAGGCGCACCCCACTCTTGGCTGTGACTTTCTCATACCTCTGGGCCCATCAAGGCCGGGAGGTCCCTGATCTCCAGGGGGACCCTGGTGGAAAGTATCATACTCAGGAGCTCTTCCTCTGGCACCTTCGCGACCAGGTGGCCCACGTCTGCCTGAGGAACAAATTCAGACACCATCTCATTATGTCTGGAAAGTATGGCCTTAGCATTGAAAGAGAAGCAAAAGTATGCTGTTACACACCTGGGGGGCCGGGGGGGCCTTTCTCTCCAGGGGGACCTGGGGGAGAAATTCCTGGGCTTCCTGGGTCTCCCGGATCTCCTTTCAACCCTGGGGCTCCCATTGGGCCAGGTGGGCCTACTGTGTACAAACCTTGATGAGGGTAAAAGGACAAGAACATTAGCACAGAATCTCCCATTATGCCAGGAAAGGAACCGCTTGCAAATAGGGAATGGCCGGACAGCTGTCTCTGCTGGACTGACCCCTGGCTGTGCAATCTCTCCGGGCTGTGTACTCTCCTGCCACCCAACACACCAGTCAGCCACATGTGTTCAATTTGACTGCCCAGGTCTAAGAACAACAGCTGAGTGGCCCACCCTCCACGTTCCATGATGGACAGACTGAAATAAATCAGAGCCAACAATGAGTAATAAGAATACACTGGTTTGAAAGGCCAGGTGGAAACTGGCGGGTAGAGAATGACTGTGGATTTTCACATGGGCTGAGGACTCCAGCGGCGTCTTCGAAGGGGCATTGGTTTGAGCAGACTCCTTGGAAGACCCGCGAGATGAATCCTAGGTGACTTCGTGATTTTCCCAACTGAATCAAGATGTTTGCCACAATTATTCAAACCTAGTAGCCACCAAATCAGTGCTTTTCTCTGGGCCCTTCAAACCCTCCTGTCTGATTTCAGCTACCTTGTCTGGTTGTGAGCTGTTTTTCTGAGGAAGGAATGCAACAAATGTGCACTATATTAAAATAATGGAACACCTTAAAATGCCGTCATTGATGATTAGCCGATTTGTGGCATAAAAATAAGGGCAATCTGTTCAGGTAATTTGTTTTAGCAGCAGGCTATTTGAGAGATGCTAAAGCACTAATTAGAGTCACGTGGTTGTGCTTAGCATGACTACACTTAAAACAATACAAAAAAGAAGCCCAACTATTAATTTGTTATTCGTAACATTTTGAAATTTCACTCCACCTAAGCAATTATTCGAGCATTTCAGTAGGCAGTCCCAAGCAGTTATCAACAGAAGGACCTGCTAACCAGTCATTCCTTCTTAGAACAGTCTCAGATGGCAGTTTTATAAAAAAAAGTCATGTTTGGCAAAAAATCGTCCCAAGGTTGTGTGTCATAGCTAATCTGTCTTCTTAGTCTTGAAGCCCCAATCTTGTGAGGTGAAACACACTGGAGCAACTAACAGTCTACTGACAGTTTAATTTCTTGAAAATGTTTCCTTTTGGCTTCCCTGTTCACGCAGGGCTTAATTCTCAGTACTATGAAGTTATCAGCAGCCACTGCAGCATGAGTTTGATCCCTGGCCAGGGAGTGACCCACAGGGTGCAGCAGACCTCTCCTGTCTCCTCGCTGCTCCCCTCAGCAGTGGATTTCAGTGGTTCCGCCTGTTCTGCTCCCCACTCTGTCTCTGGTGAATCCTCTCACTCCCTGCACCTCTGGCTGACATCCCAGTTCTTGTATGCTTGAATACATAAAGATTCAATCTAAAAGAAAGAGCAAATGTTTCCTCTTACCTGGAGTACCTTGAGATCCTTTCTGACCCTTTAACCCATGCAAGCCATTCAGGCCGGGTGGCCCATCGGGACCTGAAATATATCACAGCCCGTGACCCTTAGGGAAGACCAGGACTTTTGGTTCACCTGCTAGTCTCTGTCCTGCTCTGAGACACAGTAATCCCACTATGTAGAGATCTAGTTCATGCCAGGGGTTATTACTTAGCAAATTCATTTAATGGGTATTTTCTGTAAAAATACTCTAAGGTGTTTTTGTTTTTTGTTTTGGTTTTAAAGTACAACTGTTGATTTATGACTGTACCATGAAAAGCTCTTCTTAACCATTGAGATACAGATTTCCCACCAGTCTAGAATTACTGAATCTTGGTAAAAGAAGTGACCCTTGATTTGATGGCAATGAAATCACACTAGATGAAGAAAGAGATTGAGAGACTGGGCAGGCACAGACTCAGGCTTATTTCATCCAATCTTTTTGCTCTGCCATGGTCTGCTGATTCTAGTTTCCTCAGATCTAGTCAGGTAGTAGTAAGACAATAAGGATGGGTGGGGGCTGTGGCAAAATGCAGAACTGATATTCCACCTACCTAACTTCTGTTTTTAAGCATTGTGATGTTCAGAAAGAATGTGTCCCAGGTCAAGTTTAACTGCATTTGTAACCACTTTATTGAGAAAGAACCATCCTGATGCTCCTTGACAGAAGCTAAATTTATTTCATGTTTCATTGAAAACTCTCGATAACTAGATATGGTCTCATTGATGACTTTCTCTTTAAAGATTTCGTCAGACATCAGTATAGTTTTTTAAGAAAACATTTACCAAATTTATTTGCCACTGAATACCTATAAATCTATAAATTTATACATATATACATTTATAATATCAATATTTATACTACCTTTGTAATATATATCATTTTAATATATACAATTACATTTCAATTACATTATTTATAGAACTGAAATATTTATATGTTTGAAATCTATATTGATAATATGGTAAATCCATAGAACTATAGGGAAGACATAGGGAAAAACAAGGAAATAAAGAGGGACATAGTGAATAAAGACAACATCCCTTGGTGCTTCAAACATGTCTTAGCTCACGGGCTTGGAAGAAAGACACCCCTCACCCCTGGTCAAGCCTGGCAACCTCCTCTTCCATTCATGGAATCTCCATCTTGCAGCTCTTTTCTCCCATCCAAGCCTAAAAGCCAGTTATTCATTTAGTTTTGGGTCCCATGCTTCAAAGTTGTAATAAAAACATTCTCTGTTTCTATGAGTAACACAGAGACATGCTGTGACCCACCTGAGACCCACACAGCGCTCCTCCAGGCCCTTAGACCCTCACTCATCTGCTATATACAACCATCAAGTCTTTGGGTAACTGACTGACTTTCGACTTTGGATAAATTTATTGAGGGCAAGACCAAGTCCCATCATCCTTTTTCTCCCCCAAATATAGCATGTATCCCAGTGTGGACACATCTGGTGTTCTATAGATGTTTGTTGAATGAACGCGATGTTGCATGAACAGAGATATTGAACAGGGAGGGAGAGGGATTGAAAGTGCTGCAAGAAGGCTTTAAAAAGATGTGCTACAGTTCCCATTTCAAGCTACGGCTTTCTTGGTTCGATTTATAGGATGAATGCAATTTGGGGAATTAGATGAATCCATTTGTATATAAATAATTCAAGTGCTAATTACTCTCTATTCATTAAAGAAGTCCTCTGTGGACTTCTTAATAGACAAGGAACAGTTGTTTGGCTCCATTCTATTTATTATCGTTCTTGAAGTGGATGGTTATTCTATTTTTAAAATCTAAACTTGAGATTCGTGCAAATGAGACACATATTCTCTCGCACAAAAAAAAAAAAAAAAAAAAAAAAAAAAGGACGATCCTCATCTTTTCTCTAACGCTATTACATTCCGCACAGCGTTTAACGATTCTGGCTTCATTTATTTTCCAATCCTCTTCCCTACTTACGAGCCAGCCTTTCAAGTTTGCACCAAAAGAGCACAGAGATCTTTATCTGCCAAA